ACATGGCCCTCACCAAGGCAAATCAAGTAGCTACTATTATGTACATTATAGGCATTTTGAAACACTGGCTAACTAAAGCAAATACCATGGGGAACTCCAGCTCTCATCATGGATGGCGAGAAGGAACTGAGAGGGAAGTGGCAGACACACCCATTTTATGCCTTCATCTGAGAGCATTTGAAGAGATGGATCATGTGAGACGCCTAGTGGTATTGCTGGCAAATATCTCTGACCCAAAGTGCCTTGAGTGCACATACACCTGCAGTGGAACGTACGTGTGCATAATCAGTTGAAGGAGAACTTACATGTGCCTAAGTTTAAAAATGTAAGTGTTTTCAGGATCAGAATCTAAGGTTGGGATCTTAAAATGGGCTTAAGGAATTTAGGTGACCAACTTCTGTTGATTTCTAATAGGAATTGAGCACTTAACTGCCAGAGGCCTTTATGAAAATCCAGTCTAGCACCACTAATCATATCTCATCTGAACTATACAATTAAGATTAAAAGGGTTTTTTAATACTCTACTGTCACACACCAATAATGGTGTTAGTTGTATTTTATGCATATAGATAATAGTCAAAATTACATAATGAACCTGTGAACAGTGTGATGGCTCGGTAAGTACTGTTTACACAGCTCAGGGTAAGTTTTCAAAGCTATGTGGATTTGGTAGAAGTAAACACAGACATTCTGTTAACAGCTGAATACAGTTGAACAATTTCCAAAGTAGTGTGCAGGAAGTTTTGCATTAAGTCTCCATTAACATGAGCAGTAATTGTGAGTTTAACCTGCCATAAACTATGTCAAAAATGTTTTCTACCAATGCTTGAGCAACTGCATTAAAGTAAAAATCCTGTGAATATGGAATACACGGTGTTCTTTGCCACTCACACTTTTTCTGTACCTGCCAAAAAACATCAGCAATTATTAATGTATGCTTATATAAAATGCTGAAATATATTTTAAAGAGCTGAAATAACTTGAGAATACCAGAAAGAAACAAAATTAAGTTAACAGATTAAGATGCATCTCCTAACAAGCTACAACAACAAAAAAGTAAAGGTAAAATACAAAAACGTATGCACATTTTAGAATACAGCCAATTGTCACTGAAAAAAAGTGAAAGACCTAGAGAACTAAGGGCTAGATTCACAAAGAAACTTAGGTGTGGTGAAGCTTATGAGATCGGACCTCACAGGCCAGTTAAGTGGAAAAATTCTCATCTGCTCCCAGTTGGTGCAAGCCTTGGGATTAAGCGTCCGGATGCCTGGCAGGGGGATGCAGCATGCATTCTCATAGGCAAAAACATAGGTGCCTAGAGAACTGTTACTGCAAAAATGTAGGCACCGAGTGATTTTAGGTGCCTCCGGGGCTCAGAGGCTGCTGAGCAGGGGTTTTGTGAATCCCAGTGGGGCCTGATTCTGGGATTTGGGCACCTAAAGTGGCAGTTAGGAGCCTATGTCCTTTTTGTGACTCTAACCCTGGGTGCTTGGTACGAACAGCCTCTGAGCAGGAAGTCTTGTAAAGCTACTTTTAAGTACTACCTTCTCATATGCACTCTTCAACCCTCTCACATCTAGAGCGCTAGTAAAGCTTCCTTACTGCAAGTATTAGTAATTCAATTCTATCCAAAGACAATTTATAAATATTTTTCCATTTGAGATCAGCAATTCTGAGCATATAGAAGAGAAACTACCTTGTTTCTTCTTTGTTTCTACTAGCATTATTGTTCACAAATTGCATTATGATGTGAACTTTGAGGGGAGATAAAAAGAACATGTTCACTATCTTCGCAGTCGCAATACTACTAATCTTTAAGTTATTTTTATTTTCTTCATTTTACAGTGGTTTACCAGTGATAGGTTTGTCCATCTGCATGGCTTGGCCACCTGTACTGGATGAACAATGGATGGATTCCAAAGGATCTCATGTATGGAGAACTTGCAGATGCTCCAAGGCCATGGGCCAATTGAGACTCAGGTTGAAGAGGGACTTGAAAACTTTTCAGCATTGATACCACAAACTGGGCAGATGCAGCTAGCAACAGGCCACACTGAAAGACTGCACTGCACTAGGGAAGCAAAGAGGTTGAAGAGAGGGGAGGAAAGTGAAGAGAACAAATAGGAAACCATAGCAGACCTCATGCGCTAGTCCGGCACTGTGATACTGCAGCATGACCCAGAGTAACTGAACTGCTCTGGCACTTACACCATTGTCTTTCGAGACTGGTGGTTGCCTACTATCAGTGACAGGGTTATATTTTTATAGAAAGTCTGCTATGTGATCTCAGAGCACACCTTAGATGAACTATAGCCTTGGCTACAATTCATTAATCTAACAAGATGCAAGAGGATCTCCAGAAGGGGCCACCATTTTGCCAAAAAGGAGCATTTTTAGAACAAACTGAATCTCATTCAGACTCTACTCTCCAAGAACTTGTTTAAGAGGACAGTCCAGCTGGAGAGTACTCCTGTCTTCAAATGGAATAACTGACATCTAGTAGCCTCTTGAATAAGAAGCCACTAGAGAGATGTATGTTGTCAGAGCTGTGAGAGAAGGTGACAGAATCTAGAAACTATTTCCCATTAGGGATTTTTCTAATTCTATCACCTGCATGTACCTCGACCTACTTATGGGATGATGTTTATAGAGCCCTACACTGCCAGCCCTGTTTTCTGCTAGGAGTAATCTCCTTTGTTTAGATCTTGGGATGTTCGTTAACATCTTTAGGGTGGGTTTTGGCTTGTTTCTGCTCCCTGTGCTGCTTTCCTGGGGTCTTTAAGATGCAACAGCTGTCTTCTTCCTCGAGCAGGGTGGTAGAGAGGCCACCCATTGCTCCTCAAGACCCAGATGTAACAGGGTGTCTGGAGCCAGGAGCTCTCTCAGCACCCTGTCACTCTAATACCAACCAGCAGAGCTAGAGCTGAGGGGTAATTGAGGGGGGGATGCAACCCCAGCAGCTAGGATTATATAAAACAGACCGGAAGGAAGTGTGGTTAAGGAGCAGGGAGCCTGAAGGATGGCTGATGTACACAGGACTAGATACTGCTAGTACTGTTCCCTTCCTTAGAAGCAAGTGGGGAAGCTGCCTATAGATTGTAAATATATGTAAACAACACTACAGGCTGTGGCCTGCTGGAGGAATACAATAAAATATGGAGACAGTGAAGGAGACCTGGAATTGTTGTGGTGAGTTACTGAGGCTGAAAGCAGGGCCAGCGCTTCCACTAGGTGACCCTAGGCGGTCGCCTAGGGAGGTAGGATTTGGGGGGCTGCATTTTGCTGCCCTCGGTGGAAATTCGGCGGCGGGGGGTCCTTCCGCTCTGGGTCTTCAGCAGAAATTCGGCGGCGGGTCCATCACTCACTCCGGGACCCGCCGCCGAAGCGCCCCGAAGACGTGGAGCGGAAGGACCCCCGCCGCCGAATGCTCAGAGGAGGAGCGCTGCCGCCTAGGGCGGCAAAAACCCTGGCGCCGCTCCTGGCTGAAAGGACGTTCAGGGGATCAGTCTGTGGCACCACTGAAGGAAAAAAGCTATGTGGAGGGGGAGGAGCATTTTATCTGAATTTCTAAAATATTGCTGGAAGTGCCCATCCTAGACAGGAAGATGGTGCATGATGGTGGTAACTGCGTTTAGGTAATGTGGGGTTTCCTCAAGCCTAGAGCTGGATGGATTAATTTCTTCAGAGAATTTCACAGGCTAGTCTGGTGCCTACTCTTGTGAACGGATCATGATGGCATTGCTTGCGTGTAAGATCTGCATATTCCCAATATATGCATCGTATATTTATTAACCCTAAAGAGCATCTTTATGAGGATTTCAGTTTCTTAAAGCACTTCGGTAGCATGGGACAATATTAATTCTATATTTAAGTGTTTCATGCTGTTCAAAAGGGAAGCTGTACCACCACTATAAAACTATTGAATAAGAATATAGTGTACATGCAGCTGGAAAAGATGTCAACATCCCACTCAGGAAAGAGCGACTCCAGCTCTCTTGTCTATCTAACCTTCCCATGTCTGAATTACTAAATATAATAATAATTAACATTTTTACAGCTCTTTGCATGCTCAAAGCACTGTACAGATATTACCTCATTAATTCTCACATGACCCCTATTTGGTAGGTGAGTAAGTATTATTCTTCCAATTTAACAAATGGGGATAAAGAGGCAGTTACTTGCCCAAGAACAACCAGTAAATCACTGGCCCAGGATTAGGACATAGGTCTTCATGACACCCAGCCCTATGCTAATCACACTAACATCACACCTTCTTTCTGAATTTTGAGTTTTTAAATCTACAAAATAAATATACTTTATTCCATTCCTCAGTGTAACATTTTACAATGCATTAATCCAATAAAGTTTATGTTGGATGGCTGGAACTGAGGTGAATCAGTATAGCACTTTACACTGTGGAGAACTTTTAATGCATTACCTTTGTGATAACATGTGTAATACTTCAGATTAGAGCAGAAATTCTTCATTCTGAATAATATTAAATTGACAAAATGGCAGCAGTTGTCAAGACAACCAAAACTAAATTGTAATAAACCACAAACAAGACCTCTAGACACGAGCTGTTGGAGATAATACAGTAATTACAAATATAAAACTCTTTTGGGATCTTGCCATGTAGAGAACTGACCGTCTGAGCTAGAGATAAATTCAGTCTCCTAGTCTAAACAAATGCTTAACTGGAGTGTACACTCTAACCTGCCAAAAAAGTCATAGCAATGATGTAAATAATTTTAAGTGATAATGTACACATCTACACATGCAACAGCGTAACCATAATGCAATTTTATTTATGAATCCATGACCTCCTCACAATCTAAACCTATCCCTTACCTTTTTAGATGGAAGTGCTCAGAATAAATAAGAGAATATATAAAACCTGAGGGAAAAAGGTCTAAAACATTTATTTTCTACTGGATAATGGTTTAAATACCACATCAACAGAAGACTGAAAGAAAAGGTTTTTGGTCAGTCTCCCTTACCCGCAGCCCATGGAAACGAGGATTGCTGTAGAAAAGCTTCATCTGCTCTGATGGAAGTGGTCCTAGCACCTTCTGAATTGTAAAAAGCTGGTCAATTTCACTTTCTCCAGGAAATAGTGGCTGCCCATCACTAAGTTCCCCAAGAATGCAGCCTACAGACCACATATCCACAGACTTCCCATAGGGGGCTCTGGAAAGCAAGTACAACAATGTTCACGCTAATCAACAAAAATATCTTCTTGACAATCTATTTGCATGTATTAACTAACTTTTTGTCTACATTAAGCTTACTTGTAGCAGGGAAAATAAATTTGATACTTGCTTGTAGCGGGGTGGACACCCGCTCCTGCCCTGAGGACACCCTAATCAGCCCAGATGGCCTGTATAAAGAGGCTGGGAGCCAGGATCTCAAGAGTCTCTCTCTGCCTTCAGAGAGAGAAGGGCCTGGCTGCAGGGAGCTAGACAGGGTACCTATAGTGGAGCAGGGCTGGGAAAAGGCTGAGGAGCTGGGGAGCTCCAGCCTGGATAGCCCCAGGCTGCGGCCTGGTAATAGGCCAAGGGGTACTGGGGGTTGCAGAGGGCAGCCCAGGGCTAGGCCAAGGCAGCAGGTCCAAACCCAACCTTGCTGATGATGAGTGGCCTATACTGCAGTCTGACCCAGAGAGTAGGGGCTAGTTGGTGACTGGCAGTGGCCTTATCCTGAGGTGAGGTGGGGTTAGTGGGTGGGGGTTCCCCTGGGAGGGGAGACCTAGCGTGTGTGTGGGTATTGCCAGGGGGCAGCACCCAGGGCAAGGGGCACCGGGGTCCTGGGAGGGACACGGAGGCCAGAGAAGAGGACAAGGCGGATCACCGGCCTGCAGAGGGCGCTCCAGAAGCTGGCGAGCTAATTCCCTGGACACCCAGCAGGAAGCGCCGTAGGGGTGAGTCCGGACCCTCTTACATTGCTCCTCTAGGCTCTCCATTTACAGAGTGGGTTCTCTAACTGTACGGCAGTTTGAGAAGGCAAGGTCAGACTTGTCAATTACCCTTGAGGACTTTCATTTCTTTTCTGGAAAACTCACCAATAAAGAACATTTTCAAAGCAGAAAAACAGACATTACTCTAATGTTCAAAGTTAAGCTAACACTAACTTCTCTTGATTTTTCCTGTCTACAGAGCATAGCTGAATAGAATATAATTGAATCAATTTTTTTCTTATTCTGTGGAAAAAGGTGAGTGAGAATGGTGAAACTGGCTACTCAGAGAACAGAAATTATCAAGTATCAAATTTCTCTTATCCAGGCTCAGCACTCCTATAAAAGAATTTTAAAATCAATGAATCCCAAAGGGAATCCTCCAATAACTATTTCAAAGTTGAAAAAAAATGGTTAAGAAAACATTTCAGGTAGCATAGCATACAGGACTCTCCCATTAGAGGCAATGTCCAGAAAGGCACATTAGTCTAATATACATGTCTGGTAAACATACAAGCGGATGACCAAGTAGCTGCCTGGCAGATCTCTTCAGAGGACAAGACTTTTCAGCCCTGGATGTAGGTAATCCCTTATTTGATGGTCTTTGATCTTCCTTCTAAGATTTTGCTCCTTCGTATCACATACTACTTCAATTCAATACTTCCGAAATCTAGCAACCCTTTTAGATGTTTTTTGGCCTCTTAGTGCTGATGATACAAAACAAACAAAGCGACTCATTTTCTGTGTACTTGAATTCATGCAAGGTGGATTTTAATTGCTTTGTGGACATGCAGCATGTGACAAACTCTCTTTTGGATATTTATGTTTTGAGCAGACTGTAGGGAGAACTCTCCTGAGATCACTGAAATAACGAACATTTGGTATAAAGGCAGAACTGAGAGACTAATTTGTCATCTCTTTTCCTTTTCAGCACTAGAATCTGAGCGCTCACATTCTGTTTTAAAGGGTATCTTATACTTGACTAGCTTGACTGTCTCTAGGTTGAGAAGTCATTAAGAATTGGGAGCCCTGACAGATTCTGTTCTAAATCTGCTCCCTTTTCTCATGGATCAGTAACTGGTTAAAAGACAGGAACCAAAGGATAGAATTAAATGGTCAGTTTTCACAATATAGAGAAGTAAATAGCAGTGTTTTCCAAGGATCTGCACTGAGACCAGTGCTAAATGATCTGGAAAAGAGGGTGAACAGTGAGGTGGCAACATCTGCAGATAATACAAAATTACTCAAGATAGTTAAGTCCAAATCTGACTGTGAAGAGTTACAAAGGGATTTCACTAAGCTGGGTGACTGGGTGACAAAATTGCACATGAATGTCAATGCTGTTAAGTACAAAGTAATGCACAGTGGAAAAATAATCCCAATTATACATACAAAATGATGGGGTCTAAATTAGCTCTTAGAACTCAAGAAAGAGATCTTGGAATCATTGTGGATAAGCTCTCTTAAAACATCTGCTCAACATGCAGCAGCAGTGAAAAAAGCTAACAATGTTAGGAACTATTAGGAAAGTGGTAAATTAGTAAACAGAAAATATAATAATGCAACTATATAAATTCATGATACATCCACACCTTGAATACTGCCTGCAGTTCTGGTCACCCCATCTCAAACAAGATACATTAGAATTGGAAAAGGTACGGAGAAGGGCAACAAAAAATATTAGGGGCATGGAACTGTTTCCATATGAGGAGACATTAAAAAAAGACTGACTGATCATCTTAGAAGAGATGACTAAGGGGTGATATAATAGAGATCTATAAAATCATGAATGGTGTGAAGAAAGTGTTATTTACTCTCTCACATAACACAAGAACAAGAAGTCACTGAATGAAATTAATAGGCAGCAGCTTTAAAACAAACAAAAGAAAGTACTTCTTCACATAAAGCACAGTCAACCAGTGGAACTCATTGCCAGGGGATGTTGTGAAGGCCAAAAGTATACCTGGGTTCAAAAAAGAATGAAGTTCCTGGAAGATAGGTCCATCAATGGCTATTTGCTAAGGTGGTCAGGGATGCAAACCTATGCTCCAGGTGTCGCTAAACCTCCAACTTCCAGAAGTTGGACTAGATGACAGAGTGTGGCTCACTCAAAATTGTCCTGTTCTGTTCCTTCCTCTGACGCATCTGGCACTGTCCACTGACAGGATACTGAGCTAGCTAGACCGCTGGTCTGACCCAGTATGGCTGTTATGTTCTTCCTTACTTTGATGATTGAATCTTACATTGTGGGTTGCTCTGAGTCAGTTACTTCATTCTGGTGCACTTTGTGAGGGGAGGGCTCAAGAGGGTTACTTGCAGAGACAGCTTGGGCCCTGAGACGCTGGAGTGAGATAACCTGATTCCACCTGGGCAGGTCCCACAGGGAAGCCTTGCTTGAGAACAGGCCCACTGAGTCCAGCCTGCTCCAAGGGTGGAGAGCTAGAAAAGATGAAGTAGGAAGCCAAAGGTGCATAGACTGGTTGCCTACCAGAAGTTGCCATGAGACACTGTGATGCTTTCACTTACGGGGAGAGGGGAGCACCACTAAGAAAAATTACTTATCTCAGCTGGAGAAGTGTGTTGGCAGCAGCCCAAAGATGGCAAGGCAGAGCATGATGAAGCTCCTTAAAGGCCCATGAAGGACGGCCCTGCTGGTATCTTGTCTCTGGTGCTGGTGGGGCTTGACGCTACTGGAAATGTAATACATGGAGCTACTGGAGCTGCCTGGGCCACTGATTCCTCTTGCTGATCTAGCAGAGACAGTTCCCATGCACCCCCGCTCCCCAGACCTGATGCTGAAATTTCTCAATGCCATTTGTTTTTGTGATGCTGCTAGTACATTCAGATTGGGAGAAGGGTGGGAGTCAAAGGAGGGCTAGTGCTCTTGTCCCCACTATAATCTGCATCACATTGCTAGGTACAGGTTCCAAAGATAAGAAGCTTCTCCTGTTGGTGCCCATAGGGCAGGGGTTCTCAAACTGGGGGTCAGCCTCCACCCCAAACCCCTCTTCTCCTCCAGCATTTATAATGGTGTTAAATATATAAAAAAGTGTTTTTAATTTATAAGGGGGGGAGGTCGCACTCAGAGGCTTGCTATGTGAAAGGGGTCACCAGTACAAAAGTTTGAGACCCACTGCCGTAGGGGGTTTGTGGCAGCTGTGGAGTTCCTGGAGCAGAGCAGCTTCTGAGAGCAAAAACTGTACAACTCTCCTGTTTGGCAATGCTGTAGGGTAAATGAGCACAACAAGCACCTTTTCTCCCTGGGCTTTTCCTCGGTAGGCTGGTCCCCCATGTGAAGCCTTAGGCTAGGGAAGGAGTAAGGAAGGCTGCTCCATGGTATGGAGCAAGCTTCGTCTACAGCTGGAAAATGAGCTAAACCCCCCTGTAAGTCAGTAACAATTTATCTTCCTTGCAAACACGAGCAATGAGAAGAAAAATTCTGGACCCAGACTGGCAGTTTAACAGATTTTTCATTGTGTGCTGTAGGTCAAGAGGTCTGAAAAATTGCCCATCTGCAATAAAGCAGCAGATTAAACTAGGACATTTTCCAAAAGCATAAGTCAAACCTCCACCAGCTGACTGACAGGTGAGGTCCTGCCTCCTCAAACTGCAGAACAGAGGAAACAATGTAGGCATGGTGAGCCTGTATAAGAGAAAGAACTCCTACACATTACACAGACCAACAGGCCTACCCACAGTGAATAAAAAGGAAGTATAACAGTCCCTCACTGCACAGAATGCAGATTATGCTTTCAGACACTAATTCAATTGGTCTCTCAGGACGGTATGTCTTTAAACAAGCTAGTATTTGTCAATAATTTATAACCCCCAAAAGGTACAATGTACTTCACTAAAAGTTACCTGAAGCTCTTTAAAGTAAGTAGATTTTGGATAATGTATTAATTGGATACTGTACAATAATGTTTCCTTCCCCTTACGAAAAAGTTAAGTACTTTCACTTTTTATGCACACAGATTAAATGAACACATAAGCCTCTTTAAAATTATAATATTCTCCACGGTTTTAAAGAGTACAAATATTTACTATTGCAGCCATATTCTGTGCAGCAGAGGAACACACATTACATTGCGCCAATAAAAACCTAACTTTAAAATGAAGTATCAGAAATAGCTAAAGACATCACAGTGTCAAACACATTTGTAATCAATACGCTCTTCTGTACTAGCTAATTCAAAGTTTATGTCTATATTGTGCACCAAGACTTTATGCTGTATTT